CGCCTAACTAGAAAACTTGTCTAGTCAGAAAATCGAACCGAAATTTACGTATTAACATGTTCACTGGAAACAGCCAGATATGATAATAGTGAGATAAACTGTGACACTGCATCAGGAAAATATCATGCCCCATTTCTGGAAATGGTTCCACGCTGTTGTGCTAGGCCCTGGCCTTGGCAGGTGCCGCCGGCAACTGAAAGCGCACGGCTGGGCTGCTCGCTGTCAGGGCTCCCACAGGGACAGGCTCACCTCCTGAAGGCAGAAATGCCTTTCAGATCTTAGCACTGTTTTTTAAAAGCCTTGCATTTCCTCCAGGATAAAGGGATTAATATTCGCATTATTTGCCAACATGCCTCTGTGCCCACGACAACCCAAACACTACCAATTACCAACCAGAAAAAGCAAGCCTGGGGAAGAAACGACCTGGTGCTGCAGAAGCAGCCTCCTTCCCTCCCGAGGTCCCTCCTGGTGGCCTCTGGCAGGACAGATCGTCCACAGGCTCACTCCAGGTGTGGCAGCAGCTGACTATCCCTCCCTGGGGAATTTGTTTCTTTCGCCTGATAGAATATATTAAGACAAGCTGAACTTCATTTTTATTAGCCTTGTTAGGGAACCAAACTTCCTTTAGATCCAGATGTGTTTTCTGTTCGAACCTTAATAATTTAACAAAAATAGATCTGACTGCCAATTGGGTCACTCAACACTCATGTACAGAGCATCACATGTGGTAAGCGCCCCCACCTCCCATCCACCCCTCTATACCACCTGAGCTGCCTAACCACCTGGTGAAGCGGGAATTATTATGTCCTCCAAACTAGCAAATAGACCTGCTCTGGCCTCATGATGAAGTCACTCAGCCACATCTGGCGACTGTCCTCAGATGTCCGAAGTGCTGCGTCTCAAACCACTACCCTAACAAAGGCAAGCCCACCCTTCTTTAGTTATGAGACAAAGAGGTGGCCTCCCAACTGCTAACCATCTTTCTATGCCATGCAAACGAGACCTCAAAACCACCTTCTCAAATTCTCCAAGAAGAGACAGTAAAGGACAGCAGCTCCTGGGCCAATTCTGATTTACTGAAAGCAAGAAAAACATGTAACCACCTCTTAATGCCATGGGCCACGCTCCACACCGCAGGGCCTCACCCCTCTCCTTGCTGTCCCCCAGACTGAAGAGCGCCTGCCTGGGCCTCTGTCTGGAGGTGGCCCCACCATGCATGGATGCCAGGAAGGGGGTCCACGTGCTGCCCAGTCCCTGGGGTGTGCAAGGGGGTGTTGAGGATGAATGCCACAGATTCACGGAGAGCCCCTTGTGACTTTTCACACCAGGGCTCGGGTATATGGCTCCTAGAACTGGGCTGATCTTCCAGGAATAACAGAAATATCGCATAAAAGACTGTAGCTTTTAAAACAGAAGTGATTATAATAAATCTTTGCTTTGCAGGCGGTAGGGATTTATGGTGTGCCAGACACATTTACAAATGTCATTTCACTTTGATTCTGAGCCTCAGAGCAATATGTGAGGTCGCCATGGGAGAGGTCCATGCCGCCCTGAGATGGGGAAATGGAGGCTCAGGGGGCATCCCTGATGCAGCACGTAGCAGGACCGAAACGTACATCCAGGTCCCCTGGCTGCACCAAAACCCTCTACTACACCACAGAGGGGACTGAAGCACCATGAAGAAGGTCTTTGCTTTCAGACAAGAGTGCAGTGAAAGCCACGGCTCTTCTCTCTCACCCCGTCTCCCTACCTGTTTCCCCAGAGGCTGCAGTGAAACAAGGTCAACAACGTCAATGAAATGTCACCTCTCACCCTGCACTGAGCCCGGCTGTGGGGGCCCAGTAGGCATCTGCGCAGGCCTGGTCCCACCACTGGCCCACGATACCTATGGGGAAAGGGAGTCAGCACAGGCGGTAGGAGGGTGACGAGGAGACAGATGCGGGTCTGGAAACAATAATGCACGGAGGCAGGGGCTGCACTGAGCACGTAATAGACATCATCTCATGTAATCCCTGGAGCAACTTATGCAGCAGGCATCATCCCATTCCATAAAGGAAGAAACTCAGGCTCCAAGAGGTAAAGTGATGCATTGAAGGTCACATAGCTACCGCATGATAGAGCTGGGATCTGAGTCCAGGGCTGCCTGATTCTGAGAGGCCATGGGACCGAACTACATTTCCAAAAGAGCTCCCTGAGCCTCCCTATGAAAAAACGGTGCTACAGATTGAATGTCTCCTTCAAAACTCATGCTGAAACTTAATCCCCAGTGTGGCAGTGTTGGGAGCTGGAGCCTTTAATTGGTGATTGGGTCATGAGGGCTCTGCCCTCATGAATGGATTAATCCTTTCACGGATTAATGTGCTGATGGATGACTGGGTTCTCATGGGCAGGAAAATGGTAACTTTATAAGAAGAGGAAGAGGGATCCGAGCTAGCACATGAGCACGCTCAGCTCCCTTGCCATGTGATGCCCAGCACCACCTGGGCACTCTGCAGAGTCCCCGGCAGCAAGAAGGCCCTCATCAGACATAGCTCCTTGACCTGGGACTTTGCAGCCTCTATAAGAAATACATTTCTTTATAAATTACCCAGTTTCAGGTATTCTGCTATAAGGAACAGAAAACGAACTAGTACAAAAAGGGGAAGAAAATCAGGGCAAGAAATGGAAGCAGCATGTAATGCAGCAGGGGGCTGAGCCTGACCCAGAGCCTTCACGCCTCCCGGCACGCACCTCTGCCCACACAGGCATGTGCAGCTTCCAGGCTGTTCTGTGCTGAGAGGCATCCCGGGGCCAAACCAACTTCCTAGTCTTGGCTCTAATTGTCCACTGTTCTCTCTAATTTCCCCACTATTGTCAATTTTTAAAGGGTGTTCTTAGTACACCCAGGGGACAGGCCAAAATGAACAGAAAGGACCTTTATGATCATTAAGGACTAAAGCTTTTCTTCATCTGAAATTCCCAAATTGCCCGGGCTTCTTCCAGCCGCCTCACCAGTATTCAGGCAGGACCGGTTCATCCCTGGTTGGTGGAGGCCTAGTGGCCCGTAACGCAGTGCTCCCAGCTCTGTTCACTCTGGAGCCCCTGGGGCAAGTGCCAGCCTCTGAGCCTCAGTCTCCCTGTTTGTAAATGATGGAGAAAACCTCACACATAGGACTGTGGCAAGGAGTGCATGGCAGCTCTTATGCAAAATGCCCGGGACAGGAGATGCTCAGCAGTCTGAGGTCCTTCCCTTTTCTCTGTCCTGTGCCGCTCCAATTCTAGAACCCTCCTTACCCTTAGGGCCTACCTAGAACAGTGCCAAGGGCAGTCCGTGCCCCGGGAAGGGCATCGTTTCCAGACTGCAGGGACTTCTCCCTGTTCAGCCTTGTACCATCAGAACTTCTCCCCCAGGGCTCTGCTCCTGGGTGCCCCGGTGGTCATCCAACCAAACAAAGGCCCCCAAGCCATCTCAAAAACCCTTACCTGGGGTTAGGGCTGCCGACCCTAAGACAGAAGGGAGGAGCCCACCTGCTGTCTACCTCCTCACCCCAGGTCACTCTGCTCTCTGCTCTTGGCACCCTGTTCTGCCTGTGGCCCTCCCTTCGCTCACTTGCCCCATGAAAGTCCTGCATAGCTGCCTGGTGGAATCTCCTTCGGTAATAGACAAAATACAGCTAGTCCCCCTGGGCCTGACCCCACCCCACAGCCAGGGGGACCCAGGTGTCTTCCCTGGCTCAGCTGTCTGAGTCCAGCGACACAGCTGACTGTGCCCAGGTCATCAGGAGACAGATAGGACATTTCCACCTAGAAAAGTGGCTGGGCTACAGGGAAGCCTCCAGGGAACCAAACAGTGAAACCCTCTGCAGGAACACCAGGCCTTTCCTTCCTGCCACTCAGGCGGGCTCAGAGAGGAGGAAGAGTCCACAGAAGGAGCCCGAGTGTAAAATGCAAACCCACAGCCGCCACGATGGTGCCCACCTGGTCCCAACAGCGTTCACCTATGAGGGGCCAGGAGGCAGCCTCTGCAGGACCAGGGGGTCTGCGGGCGGGACGAGGGGGTCTCCAGGCTGAAGGGGGCTGGTGGAGTGCAAGGAGAAAGGCTTGCTTTCTCCTCATGCCACTGGAATCATTTCCATGTGTCTCTAGCCCATGAAAGGGGCAGAACAAGCTTATTAATGAACTGGATCCTGGATCAAAGAGGAGTTACTCATTCACAATGACCTCTTGGGTAAAGAAGAGGAAGAAAGGGGATATATATGCTTACAACTGACTGTCTGCAGCAGATCCAAAATAGATGAGCTGATTAAATAATTTCCAGAGAATAAAGATTCTCACTTCAATAGAAATACTAAGCTCGTTTCTCAGCAAAATATTTTTGAGTTCAATTTAGAAAGGCACAGTGTAGGGTGGAAGTTCCCAGGTGCAACAAGAAGAAGCCGTCAAATAAACTGTGCTAAGTGTCTAGTAATGGAGTTCTCTTGGGGTTGAACACAACACTGAGTTGAGGCATTTACAAAACAAACACTTTTCCACACAAACATCATGAAAAGCTGTCCACGCATCGTCGTGGTGAGTGGGGTGAAAACAAGGGGTTCACCACACCCTGTTCTCTTCTGCCATCCCAAGCCACTCTCAGTTCTGGAAACAGTTGCAGAGCACACGCTCAGCCAGACACAGTCAACTGCCATTTCAGAAGGCAGCCCACTCTACAGCAAGTGCAAGTCAAGACGGAGGCCGAGATCCGCCTGCTGCACCTGTTTTGACGGGCACTGAGCCCTTCTCATGTCTGCACTGTCACCTGAGTGCTGAGCTGCCCGCCCAGGTGAACAAAGATGCCCCCACGCAGAGGTGCCGGCGCAGCATGGGGAACCCGTCTTTTTCCCCCAAGGTTTCCCGTGATGACCTTCAGCACCCACCCACATCTGGGGTGCCCGGCCACACCCCCCAAGACCTTGTTTGTGTGCATTTGGAGAAAAGAAGCACATCCACCCAGAATCAATGGGCGGCTGGCGGGTACTCACCCCACTGCAGAGGCGCCAGCTGCAGGTGCTCCAGGACGAGCTGGTTCAGGAGTCCTTCCACACTCGCCTCGCCACTGCGCTTCAGGGACGGGTGAGTCTTGGTCAAGGAAAACGCAGCTCCTGCTGAGCCCAGAGACAGGAGAACATCTAGAAGTCTCTAGACAGAGACCCTCAGATGGGAAACCCCCTAGAGCAGACGTCTCCCCTCTTCTGAAGGGACTGTCTAACCAACCACTATGACATCACCCTGGGTATGTGGACATTAGGGGCATATACAACAGCAAGTGCTTCTCCTTCTACCCCTCAAATCTAGTAAATTAAACTACTATTATGTAAGAAAGGGAAATCCACTGGGATAATTTTAATCCAATAACTATTCTTGCTGGGGAAAATAAAGAGAAATGGAAGGTTATTTTTCCTTAATAAAACATGCAAACTGGTTCACTGTTCAATACAACTCGCGAGTTCCTTGACGCACGTCAGTTTCATGCTGGTTTCACGTCGGTCCTGTTATCCGTCTTGATGTAATTACACATATTATTAAGAACGAGCTCACTTAAGAGAGCTCATAATCGAGGAAGCCATAAAGTCTCTCAGCAAGTATCAGTGGATGAAGTAATTAGGTCTAAAAATGTAGAAAACAGAAACCTCCCTTGCGCTAGTATTAAACAGCCAATGTGATTCGCAAAACAGATCTGTAAACCTGTTTCCCTTTTCCCACATAAGTTAAAGCCACCATATTTAAGTTGCAATAAAAGGGTAAATTTTTAGTTTCTGACATTCTCTAGTGATTGCAAAAGTGGAAAAAACACCCCACCTTCCTTCTTCCTTTCATGTTAATTCCATTCAACAAACACATCCAGTTCATCTGAAGCACGCCATGCACAGCGGGTGGCATGGCCTTGAGGATGAAGGAAGGGCGGGCCACGCACCCTGAAGTTGAGAGGTTCACATTCTGGTGAAGGCAGCAACATGAAACCTAAGACTTGCAATGGCCAACCCTGGGGACAGTCCTGTGAGAACAAAGCTCCTGCAGTTTGAGGTAGAATGGAGCAGAGGCTAAGCATTGCAAGCGAGAGACAGCAGGACGAAACGGAGGCCCCTGCGTCTCTCCTGCTGGCTGGTGGGGGAGTCGGGCTCAGAGGTGCTGAGCAGAGCGGGCACATCCCCCTCATCAATGGTCCAATGCACTAGCCAGAGAGGGCTGTCCAGACAAGAAGGCTGCCCAAGAGAGCCAGCTGGCCACAGCACCACAGCCACCAGCAGCAGTACAGGCTAAGGTCAGCAACATGCTGGCCTGGGGGCTCAGGAACCCCTGCCCACTCCTGTGTCCTATTTTATTGTATTTATTTATTTATTTATTTATTTATTTATTTATTTTTTCAGATAGAATCTCACTCCGTCACCCAGGCTTGAGTGCGGTGGCACGATCTCGGCTCACTACAACCTCCGCCTCCCAGGCTCAAGTGATTCTCCTGCCTCAGCCTCTCGAGTAGCTGGGATTACAGGCACCCGCCACCACGCCCAGCTAATTTTTGTATATTTTTAGTAGAGATGGGGTTTTACCATGTTCACTCAGGCTGGTCTCAGACTCCTGACCTCAAGTGATCTGCCCATTTCCCAAAGTGTTGGGATTACAAGCATGAGCCACAGTGCCCGGCCCTATTTTAGCTATTGTGGACTTCTTTCAATTCTCCCCAAATACTGTGTGCTCTCTCTGAATTCCAAGCCTCCCCTCCCACACTCTGTGCATTCCGCCTGGAAATGTCTTTCCCTGCCCTCTTCTCCTTCCTGACGTTATGTCTCAACCTGACCTTGCTTCTCCTACAGGAACCCTCCAGAAGGCGTGCATGCATCCCCTGACAACCTGCGCTAGACGCGGTCATCTTCCTGTTTCTTGGCTTCAGCCCTAGCCTGTGAGCTCCATGAAGGCAGAGACCTGGTCTTAGGGCCTAGAACAGTGTTTGGTTCACTGCAGTTGCTCAAAGTATATTGCCTGATGAATAAATGAACACCAAATGAGCAAACATCCCGGGGGGGGTGCAGGTGCCACGCCTCATTCAGCAGCACAGCCCGCAGCCCCTCCACACACAGCACAGCGCAGTGGCTGTGACACTCAGCAAACCTTCCTGCACCTGACGCCCGGGGCCTGCTGACGGCTTCTGCACATTCTCAGGCTTCACTGCTCAGGGTCTTCTTGCTCCTGGCCCCAGTCCACACATGCTGCTTGCTTCATTCCACAGCAACCCAAATGTCTAACTCACCCTGTCTTCCCTCAGTAGAGAATCTGAGGGCTTGGGAGCTGTGGCTGAAGCTCTGAGGCCGGCAGAGGTGCCCCGGCCCTGAGTAAACAGCTCCTCCTCTCACTGACTCTGCTCCCTCTTTTCTCTTCGTGGAGCTTGGTGCCCAAAAGGGCAGGTTCTGGAGACTCAGCCCAACTTTGAGTCCTGGCACTGCCACTGATGAGCTTTGGTTAATTTACTTAAAGTCCCTGGCCTCACTTTCTTCATTTGTAAGACGAGCATGCTAGCAGTGCTAACTTCACAGGGCCGCCACGAGGAGTGCCCAGAATCATACTCCTGGCCTGTGGGTAGCATTAAGTAAGTGTCGCCTACCGTTAGCATCAGCCTCATCCCCATTCTTCTCCTCTCTCCTGTTCCTCCTCCATCTCAGAGGAGATGCAGAAACCTCTCTCCTTGCCCCAGGAATTCAGCCATCATTTCTGCTGCCTCCAACTCCCTTGGGGATCTCACTCTCCCGCAAGCAATTTATCAAAGTGTTTCCTCCACAGATAATTCCCTCCTTAGAAGAATTCTCCAAACGAAATTTTCTCCATCTCATTACACACACGGCCCATGTCTGTTGAATTGATATGGCTACTGATAAATACTCTGCAATGAACTTTTAATTATCTTCTTTTGACCTGTGACAATCCTCATTCATTCAATAGTTAACAGGTAGCTACCTGAGCTAGGGTTTGGGGTTATGGAGCTGACTGTGACCCAACAGACGGCCCTTCAGAACACGGTGACCTCCAGCAATCACACTTCTGGGTTTATGCCCAAAGAGCTGAAAGCAGGGACTCAGGCAGATGTTTGCAAACCCATGTTCGCTGCAGTGATATTCACAACAGCCAAAGGGTGGAAGCAACCAAAAGTCCGCCAATAGAGGAACCAATCAACAAAATGTGATCTATCCGCAGAACGGAATGTTATTCAGCCTTTAAAGAAAAGGAAATTTTGAAAACGTGCTACAACATGGATGAACCTTGAGGACATTATGCCAAGGGGAACAAGCCAGGTACAACAGGACAAACACTTACGATTCCACCGACCTGAGGCACCCACAGTGGTCAGATCCAGAGACAGAATGGATGGTGGGCACCGGGGGCAGGGAGGCAAGGAATGGCAGGGAGCATTTCATGGGTGCCCAGTTTCAGTTTGGGAAGGTGAGAAAGTTCTGGAAGCAGATGGTGGTAATGGCTGCATGATAATTTGAAAATATTTAACACTCCTGAGCTGTACACTGAAGCATAGTTAAGACAGCAAATTTTCTTAAAATGCCGACCTAGGAGGGAGGCTATAAATAGGAAGCAGAGCGATGCTAAGGAAGCCCGGAGGAAGTCATAATCAGGGACAGAGAACTGAGAAATCTCACAGGGTAGGGGCATTTGAGAAGACGGCCATGGCGGGAGCTCGGGAAGCTCTTGACAAGGACGGCCCCCCTGCGGCCCCCTCATCCTTCCTAAGCAACTTTGCAGGCAGCTTCCCCCAGTCAAGCATGCAGCCGCCCCGTGTGTTCATTCATGTTGCATCAATGGCCATTTTCTCCCTCGGCAGTCAGGCTGCATCTCTGCGAGGGGTGCCCCTTCTCGGGCAGTAGGCACAGTAAGCAACAACTGGGGATTGGGGTCCTGCCTTCGTGCATCTCCCACGATGAGGATGGAGGCCGCAGCCCCAGGCCTATTTTGAGTGCCAGCAGCAGTGAGGCACCCCTCAAGGAGGCAGTGCCCTGCAGCTCTCTTATCTTTTTGCAAAAGCAAATCCGTCTCTCCCTCAAGAAGCCAGCATAGGTGGAACCCAGTGGGTGCTTTGGATGTCCAGGGTGTTTGGGACCTTAGGCATGAGTTGCGTGGTCCCTTCCCAAGCCCTAAGTCAAAATAGGGAGGTCAGGCCCTATGGGCATCTGGGCATTAGGGCTGTCCATTCCGAGCACCCCATCAGGGCTAAGGAGGTGCCCTGTTCCAGGCCCAGGGACGTCTGCAGAGGCTGAGCTTGCTCCCTTCCACTGCAGCCTTCTCAGGAGAAACAGCCGGGCCCAAGGACACCACGTCCGCCTGCCCAGGGCAGTCCACTCCCAGACTCGTGGTGAAACCAGGTTCCCAGACGTCTCCTGGGAGGGCCTTAGGATCCAGATATGTGGCAGGCTCACAGGTGGAGCGAGGGCTGGCCTGGCTGGGCGACGAGGGGTCAAAGGCCATTGTGAGGGGCCCCTTTCGGGTCTGTTTTCTCAGTTTTCAAATAGGGGAAGGCGAAGGCTTGTCTCCCTGAGGGACTGAGCACTCCTGGAAACATTTGTTCTCGTAACCCAGCACCTAGTTCAGGCGATTCAGGTCCCAAGTGAGGTTAGAAAATATCTGGCTGTCTGTGCCTGAGTGCTGGCTCTCGAGAAGGGACCACTATTCAGCTCAGTGGTTAGGCCACCTGCTTTCACTACGGCTGAGGCGAAGGGGTCTCCATTCCCCTACCCCGCCCACAGCCAAGTTCCTGAGTAAATGGCAACCCACGCTCAGTTTCCCAGAAATTTTATTTTCTTAAGAGGAGTTGCTTAGTATTAAGAGTATTAAGAGTATTATGATTGGCTGGGAAGGTCTGTGTCTTTATGAGCAGGGCATTGCAGGGTTTCATTTCCATGGATAATGAGTGAATTGTTTTTCTTCCTTTGAACCCACAGATTTGAATATCCCCATTTTAATGCTCAAGGCACCATATTAAATTACTTGTCAAGGTGAGGAATGTGAAAGTAAGGGAATCTCATCAGCCAAGATTAAAGAACTTTTCTGAAGGAAGGGGAGGAAGCGCAGCATGTGCC